TGCCTCTGTTTCATAGAGGATGAAGCTGTGAAGCAGGATTAGCCAGCAGAACGTTGCCCCGATCAGACACAGTGCTAGTGTTGCTGAACCCATGTTCAACGACATCTCCCATGTTTCGCTCTGCTTTTTGCAACCTCTAGCGTCGAATTCGCAATGCTTGTCACATTTTCGCTGCGATTGAGGTTTATGTTGCATAGGTAGTATTGCACTATCTCTTGGTTCCTCCATCTGCCGGTGTCATGGCGCATTCCTGCCCAACACAAGCCTACTCAAATCCTCCTTCTGAATATCAGCCTATCTGGCTCCGAAAGACCTCATGCTTCAGATGGATGACCGAAGAAGGGAGTTTCTATGTTCGATCTCGAAGCCTCAAGCGGCTGATAATAACACAGGAAGGAAGCCGGCTAGTCAATGGACAAATACTCGGGCGAATCCAAAGAGTCTTCTGGTATGATGAGACAGATTGCTCACCTGTTTGAAGTGTTCAAATGCTTCCTAGACGTGTTAGGCCCTGTATTGAAAGGTTTAAAGGAGTAAGTAACATGCCAGCTGGTGGACTTCTGACCTCTAGCGATGCGCGCCGGATTCATTTGAGGTTCACTGAACCAATGACATCCGCCACTACCACAAGTTGCCGCCAGGCAGACATATCCGCCATCTCCATATTGCTTGATAGTCGTCCGCAGCCTTTTGCACTCACTTCTTGATCCAGACCACTCAAACCCAGGCTGATCTGATCTTCATCCGGTTGAAAGCGAGACTCAGATTCGAGGCCGCCTAACGCGACCTCTCGACCGGCACTGGCGCCGATCGTCCGGCTGTTGGCTTCAGGGGTCTGTTAGTTGAAGTCAAGAAGCATAAATAGTGCACCTGGCACACGCAGCGAATGGCGTTCGGGGAGACTTTAGATCTAGCTGCAGCTGCCGGAATTGTCCGCTTCGTCAGCTCTGCGAAATCTCAGACACATCAGGTTAGTTGTTTTCACATTTGACCTGTGAGTCTCATGAACACAGAACCCGAACGGTGATGTCTAGGAGACTTGCTTTGTATTTCAGCGCAGACGTGGTGAATATGGAGCCGCGTTGATGATCCTACGAACACTGTGAATGAGTAGTGTCTGTTGATTTGGTTATCATACACGAGAATGACACAAATGTCTACTACCTGACACGGGCTGTCAAACATTACAGACAGCAATACCTTAGTCGCAGGTTTCACATGCATGGCGTACGAGCTACTTCTTCAAGAACCCTTGCAGGCAAAGAAAACACGCATGCTACCAAGCATCCTAATCTCCCTCCGGTTTCAGCAACCTGAGCATCAAGTTGTCTGATGGGCGCGCCCCGCCGACATATTCCCCCCATATGCGGTCTTCTCACGCGCCTCATGTATCTTCCCGCCTGTTGCATCATTCAAAGCCTGCCGAGTTGGACAGATCCTTCGTCATGCCGCCATGCAGCCACCGCTGCTGTCAAGGCCCTCTTGGAGTGCCAAAGGGGGATAACCAAGTCGGTCAGAAGCGAGGTGGAAAGATGAATATGCAGGAAAATGATGCAGGCAAGATGCAAATATCTGCATGCAATTGAGGTAGGTATTTGTTTCTTGGGTAGCCGCGCGTGTGAACAGAAGATAGCTAGGTGCCTCGCTTGGTATGAGTGCGAAAGAAAAGGAGAAGAGCGTCGGTTGAGTGATTAGCGATTGCAGTGCTCCATTCCCAAAGCTGACCCCATTCCAAGCTCGACATCTTCTGTGGTCTTTCCTCCCAAAGAGAACGAATTGATCATTCGAAGACTCAAGCACCACGGGTGTGTCTCTTTCCCTCCTGCAGCATCAATAACCACTCTGCGCGAAGCTGTCGCATGGCTTGACAATTAGTCTGACGGGTGAGATGCCCGAAGCATCGACCAAAGCTTGATTGCCTTGCCCAATTGCCTGATGCATCAGTATGGGTTGTGGTGACGATCGTGCGTCTTGGGTGGATGTGAGCCATGTTTCAATCACCTAGACATGACATCGGCAGATGCATTGCCATAACGATGCTCAGGCGAGCAAGAAGACAGCATGCGGGTTCATCTTTCTATCCACTACACTCCATTCCCAAACTCAGCATATTCGCTCGCTCTAAAACCTCTCGGCAGAATATGTTCTCGTTGCCACACGAATCAAGCGTAAAAAGATGGCTCGGTGTCGATTTCAAAGACTATGGAATCTTTGTGAAGTTCCTGCGTATTATTGGTATTCAGGTCGTGGAAGTGCTGCTTGCCGTTGGGGCCGATGGGATGGAGACGACGATTCTCAATGTTACCTAGAGCTCGCTTGGGGCTGTCCTGGCGTCGATGTAAACTCAGGCGGAGGGAGATGATCGTTTCGAATATGTGGAACCAGCGAAGGAGGGGACGGGAAGCGCCGGCTGTGTAGATCACCGACCGAGACGTATCGTGGTACGACCGACGAGCCGGTGGATCTAGAACAGTGTCAGTCAGTACAGAACAATCATTTGATATGAGCGACCGAAGCTGCTCACCTGGGATCATGATGAGGACTCGCGGGGTCGCATGCTGCTGGTGCGGTGTCATGGCAATGAGGAGGGTGGCGATGTAAGTCGTGGGCGCGGACTGCGCGTCAGGCCGGGCTGACGAATCGTGTGGAGAAATCTGCAACGTCTGCGAGTCGTCCGAGGCCAGTCAGCTTCTGCAACAAAAGACGATCTTCAGGGTAGGAAAAGCGTACGTATCAGGGCAGCGTGATGGGGATGAATGCCTCCGCCAGCAGCCAATGACGACAATCTCTTGCACAGCAACCTCGGTACGCAAACCCAGAGCTCTGGGCCACTCGGTTGCATTTTGCTCGTGGCTGATGGAAAGTGGCGGCGCCAGAGGACTTCTCGGTAGGTAGCATCGCTGGACAGCCTGCGAATCCATGTCCACGGCTCGCTGAAGCGCGAGTCAAAGTCGGGGAGAAGACATCCGCTAGAGCTGCATTGCGAGGGATTGGAGAATGTTGGGGTCTGCCATCGGTCTTCAGTGGACGCCGACCGCACCTGCGGAAGAGGAAGGTGGATCGGGGACGGAAGACGACTTCTCAAAAGAGGTAGACGATCTGGCATCGAAGGGGCTGGAAATTTGCCCAAGCTCTAGCTGGGTGTAGGCCCGTTGGCGAGTTTGCTTGTGGTTTGTTGGTTCATTGTTTGTTGTGTTGTGACGTCGAAAATTGGGGAGGCAAGTTTGCGGAAGGCGGGGAGGCGGGGGGTCTGCTCAGGGGGAGGAGGAAGGTACCGAGGGGCTGCTGTGATTAGGTATCCGTAGAAGCCGCAGTCGCCAGCCTGTGAAGACAGGGGCAACGTTCGCGCTGCCCAGACCAACTGACCCCTGTGTTTGTCGACGTGATTCAAAGATCCAACAACCAAGCTGTAATGAGAAAGGATGTGGAAGCCTGAATGGTGTTCGACCAGAGAAAAAGACTGCAACGGCAGGGGGTGGACAGATTGGGGGGCGACAGACCCCAACCGAGTGCTTGTCTTGCAAGGGGAACACCATGGCGAACATGCACCAACAGTTTCCAAACCAACAGTGGGCAAGGAGAAAAAACCAGCCTGGTGAGCATGGTGCAGGGTCGATTTACCCTCCAATTAGCCGCATGCAGGCAAACAAACAGCTGTACTGACCCCGACCCCGGCATGTTTGCCACGCATCCCCATCCCGGGGTTTGGGCTGACCTGACGACCCCTGCTCCAACATGGATTCGACGTTTTTTAGTGAGCATTGTCGAGTGGGGATGACCTGTTGGTGACTCTCTGCAATTGGACCTCGGACGCCTTCTGCTTGAGGCGCCGTCTGCAGTTCATCGGCTGATGAGCTTTTGCGACCGATGGAGCTGGTTCATTTCGTCTTCGGCTGCGCAGTTGGTGCAGGGTCTGGGCGCTGAACATGTAAGATGATTGGTCACCGCACTGTAGCTGGGGTGCCGTCGCCGCCAGACGCTTGATGAAATTGGCAATGCACACGGAGGATAGCACCTGTCGTAGCGCCGCCGCACTCAAGCTAGAACATTCCACATTGGCTACAGAAGTTGGACCCCAATGAGATGTTATGGAATAAAGGAAGTCCTCAGCAGACTCCCAGTCCTGTTGAAGTTTGCTGCGTGGGGGAAAGCGTCCACTGGAGGGGGACACGGACGGCCGAGGGCGATGCCGCGCAACCGTTCCAGTGCTGTTGGTGGGTACCTTAGGCACGTACCGATTCCAGGCCCAGCACCCAGCACCCACCACGCACCTGTGGTAACCTGGAACGTCACGTGGTAGGTTCTTTCAGTGGGTAGGTGCACTGTAGCTACACAGTGTAGCTCTGGGTAGCGCATTTCCCGCCGCCGTCCCTGTGAAGAAGCTGGTTCACGGAAAGTAGCAGAGCTTCGACCTCCATCAGGCTCTAGTCTCGAACCCCGACCTCGAGGAAAACTCGACCTCAACAAGAATTCGACCTGACAAGAATTCGAACCTAGGGTAAAAGATTTCAACCCTCAAAAATTCGACCCCAAGAAAAGTACGCCCTCGACGAGGCATTCAACATCTCCTCTCTCTCTTTTTCAGGAACCTCCAAGTAACCGCCAACATCGCATATCGAGCGCAGTGCTCTACTCGACACGCAGTGCGTCATCATCGTCTATATCGCACAGCAAACCCCAACGGACTTCACTTTCACTGCTCATCCCTCCACCAGAGTCCCTCCCACAGCAGCCTCGCCGGAAGACCCCGGCTAACCGCCAACGCCAAGCCAGCATGAAATGTTTGCTTGATCCAACATCGACAAGGCCCCTTGTATTGTCTGCCCCCGGAAGCCACCAGGCTGACAGTCTTTTGCAGCATATTAGAAGACGACAGGTCTCGTCGCAGCATCTTCCCACTTTGAATCTCTCCGTCTCCGCTGCCACGCTCACTGCCGACCTGATTCCCAATCCGACCGCCGCCTCCGTCGCTTACAATCTTTCTCAACCAACAGAACACAATGGGCTGCCCCGACTTCATCGGTGACCCGCATGACCCGAAGCCAGCACCTCTTGATCCATCGACCGAATGCCCCGTTTGCGCCATCAAGGCACGCATGGCCAACCCCGACCGCAACCCGACCTGGGGCCACCGAGACTACCCCGCCGACCGCCTCATCGACCTTATCATAAAATACACTCCTATTGGCCCAAACCCGATGAACAAGGCAGAGGAAATCGCCATCTGCGGTGTTGTGTCGACGTGGTGCGGCAGGTCTGAAAAGCGAAGGTTCAAGAGCTTGAGGCTGTGTGACGAGTGCTATGGGAAGCATATTGGCGTTCCCTTCCGCGCCGAGTCCGACTGGTTGCTCAACTCCGCGGCCGGCCCCAACGATGTTGATCGGTAGTTCGCGTGCATCGATTGAATCATGTGTATCTGCATTGTGGTCATTGTTGGCCTTATGATTCCAGCGAACGCCCGCACCCATTGCGTCCCAAGACGAGGCACCGAGTCTGCAGCTTAATACAAACCGGCTGGAGGAATGGCTCGCATGTAATCTTTAGTAATGACAAGCAGACTCCTCTATGCTCGTCGAGGACCTTTGCGATTGATGAAGTGTCAATACAGACAAGATCATCAGATCTTCAATTATCTGCTTCTCATCACCGCTCGCGTGAAGATGCTTAAGCCGATGACACCCCCCGATTGGATGCTCGAGGCCGAGAACATACTTTGGGGGCCGACAATGGCGTTTTTGCCAAACACGTTCTGTCGCTTGGAGAGACGCCGTCCAAGGCCCGAACTGAGAAATGCGGCCCTTGGAAAAAGTAAGTAACACGAGCCACTGGCTGAGCAGCTCGCAACAGGCCCGGGTACATCTCCCGTCATGGGCCTTCAGTGGACACATGCCGATTTCAAGCAGCGCCAAAGTCGAGCAATATCCACCGACAGACCATCTTGAACCACAAGCATCCAGGCAGGTTCCATTATTTTAGAGAAAACCGGGAACCAGAAAGGTGATTTTTGCGTGCTTGCATCTCGCGTGATGCCCATTCGTAAAGCCCGCCAAAGAATACCATCAAGTCATGAAGGCGCGTTATATGCGAATGATAATTATCGCATGTGTGTGGCAGCCATAGTAATGTGGTGTCTGTCCCGCGCGGCGCAGACCTTCTTTGCGTCTTTGACCACACCCCTCAGAGGACGACCAAGGTCTCCCGCAGCATGACAGACTTTTGCTGTGGCGGCATTGGTTTCCGTACTTGGTCCGTAACACAAGGATCTCTGCCATGAGTAACTTCGGTTGACAAGGTGACACGCCGGTAGAGGAGGCTTGGTGGAATGCTCGCGTCTTTGACGCACCGACCAAGGTAAATGGAAGAGGGGGTGGATGGGGGCAGCAGGCGAGCGACGCCTCCAATGAGATCTTGCAGATGGCCGGAGACCGAAGCAAAAGGCATGCCCCGTCTTGCGTTGAAGGGTTGAAGCGCCAAAAAGATCCATAGAGATGGCACTTGTCAAGGTTGACTCTGGAGTCACGTTAAAGTTTTCACATCAGGTCGACAAGGGAGGAGCTTCCGTTGAGGCAAACTGGGCAGGAGCATTTTTGAAGGGAATCGCGCAAGCTGAACACCTGTGTTGGGACTTGGAGAGACTCGCGGTGGTGGCTTGGCTGGGATTCTTGATGAAGATATTGTGATCGGAATAGATTGCTGTCGGGGACCTTCAAAGTCAGTACGCGGCTAGCATATCTGCAAGTGAGGGGGGAGGGGCAATTCAGCTGGAAGAGACTGAATCGGAGTGGGGGAACGTACCAGATTGACCACGCGTGGAACGAGCGGGAAAACCCACGGTTTGGTAAGAAAGAATCTTGTATTTCGCAAGTGTTTGTCTTTAGGGAAGAAGTTCAAGTCTGAGAGGGACCCAGTAAAAGGGATTGAAGGTAGGAAGGATAGCAGGTAGGAAGGCCCTAAGGGTGCCTGCCTACCACGCCTACCACGCCTACCACGCCTACCAAGCCTACTGTGACTAATATGGACCTGCTGCCCCTCCTTAGGCTAGAAGTGCCACACCTAAGGTAGACTCATGGCTCAAGCTGCAGAAGTTCCCGCTGATTCTCAGGTTCGAAATCAGTGTGTGGCCAACGGAATTTAGGTACGCTGCTATCGCCACTACCACCACCACCCGCATCGCCGCAGCCTTTGTCAACGCCATCCTCCCGTCACCCCAGCCAGCGGCGTTGGAGAACAAAAAGTAACACCCAGCTGAATTAAAAGCAAGCCAGATTCTTCTTGTGCTTTGTCGATAGACCCTTAGGCGGCCGTCTCGGATTTCCATGCTCGAAATCAAGCGTTTTCTGCGGAGCAAGATCTGTCGTCATCGCGCATAGAAGGAAGCGCCGGGAACATCGGCTTCCATCGTGGTGTCGTCAATCTGGCCGAGCTAAATTTTGATGGTTCGTACCGCGGCCAATCTCCCATTCGCTTGCTATTCCTTTAGTCTGACTCTTCACGTCTCAACGTATTCAGAGAACGAAAACCAATACTACCCTCGACCTTGCCAGCCCGATATGTGCAAATAGGTCGACTTCTGCCTCTGCATCCATCCCTCCCGGCTACGCTACTGAAGCCATTGAAATAATGGTCCCGCAGCAAAAGTCTCCGCCGAGGGCGACATCCTGAAGGCAAATATCATCGACCTCGTCATCGAAATGAATCTCCAGGACAACGCGTCCGTCGCGGAGGCGCCCAGAGTTTCGCTAAATAAAAGCTGGGATGCAGATTAGCTGAACTAGAGAGAGACTCCCAGATGCGCTCCTAGCCAAGGGAAGACACAAAGTACAACCTTGTAGCTATGGCTTTTGAAAGGCTTCATTTTGCTTTGGGTGCGGTGATCTAGGTTCGGCGAGCCATTCCACGATGCTGGTTTGTGCACCTGCCAGAACTGAGTCGCGGCTTTCCGTCAATGCTATCGATGCCGTCGCTTAAGGTTTCTGCTAGGTGGAGTCGCTGCCATTTGTCACTGCTAGTGGAGTCGCTGCCATCTGTTACTGCTAGTGGAGTCGCTGCTATCTGTCACTGCCAGTGGAGTCGCTGCCTTCTATCACTGCTAGTGGAGTCGCTGCTAGTCCTTATTACCACGACCACCTCGCGCTCCCATAAAGAAAATAAAGAAGAGTCTTTATCGCGAGGTCCTATTACTAATTTCCACCACCACCACCAAGACATGTGCGTTGTATTTTTTTTAGTGGTCATCTGAAGAAGCCATCTGATTTCTTTTGGCTTCCAGAGGTGCATATGCTAGTGACAAAGAGACGGAGGCTCCCTGTTACAAAGTGGCGTCAGATGAACTGGACTCCCTGCCATCTGTCGCCGCCACTACAGTCGCGAACGTCCCCGGGCCAGTGTGCCAGGAGAGACTTCGCATTTCGCCTACTAAAAATGAAGAGTCCAAACCAGTCAGAAGGTTCGTACCTCAAAGGGCTGTGCGGGAAGGGACGGAATAGCAGTTGCTGAAAACCGTCAGTTTGTTGGATCGGCAGGTAGTTGAGAATCAGCAGGAGGTAAAATCAGCAGCTTGTAAACGGCAGTTGCTGAAAACCCACTCCACTACAAGGTTCGCTTGCCCTGTCCTGTCTGGGGTGCGCCTGTATTATGTTTCTGCGGTTGCGCTTTGATTGGAACACCTTACCCAGAGCACCTTTCGAATTTTATCCAGCCAAGGCAGTTATCGCCAGCCAGACCTGATAGTTCGGGGTTCAAATCACCATTGACGGTACAAATTGCGCGGCGGAGTCTTGGCTTCTGGTCGGGGGCGGAGGGCTTGGAGGCTATCCTCCGCAATACCAGGAACGCGGCGGCGACAGTGCCCTCGCTTCAAGTCGGGGGGGGTTTTCAGCGGCCTCCATGATCCAGCAAACATCTGCCTCGCTTTAATGCATACGAGCGGGTTGCCCGGCGAAGCGTGAATGGAATCGGAAAGGAAAGCAATAGCGCCGCAGCTGAGAGGACGGCTGAGAGTCTGGGGAGGCCTAACGCCCAACGAACACAAGATCCGCATCGAAGGTTCACTGTGAAAAGAAGGCCGTAGCGCCAGTGGAGGCGGGCGATGCGCGGTGCAACGTGCTGCCCGAAAGCGGGAAATGGGCATGTGTTAATTGGTTGTCGAATCGAAATAGGGGAATCTGGATAGCAAGTTGCAGCACCGTGGCGCAGGCGCGCGGAAGTCGGCGAGCGACAATGTGGCGAGCTGGGGTTGCGGCCGGATGATCCAGGTTGAATTGTCGACGGCAAGTCTGACCCATCACTAGGAGTCGGTGGCGTTCAAGCATGAGAAACAAATTTGAACTAATTCTTATGGATAAGAGGCTCTGAGATAGAGCAGTGATTCAATCAACCTGGTGCGTTTTCTCGCGGCTTGGAAGCTGAGTGGAACGCTGCATCGTCATCTTGCATTGCAGGCGTCAGCCGGGCAAGAGCAGCGATGGATATCACCGAGCTTTTTGAAACAGCAAAGCAGAAGGGAGAAGGCACAGCTCCAGCTGGGAAAGAGGTACACCTGCCGACTGAGAAGGCACAGGAGATCCCCTTTGCTGTGATGCTCCCTTGCATTCAGCGATGTGTGGTAAAGTGGTTCTTTGCGGCGACGGCGGTCCTCTTTCTTTCTGACCTTTTCATACTTTCGCATAGCAGGCTACTGTCTCCGCAGAAGAAGAAGCTTGAATTTGGAACCAGGTCGGCAGTATTCAAAGCCTGGGTGCCGAAGTAGGCGCTGGATGTCGGCTCCAACCATTCCGATTTCAAGTGAGATTGGGAGCTCTGAGACTGCGACCGGATCTTCGAGGAAAATCTCGCTAAATAAGTGGCGGCGGATGGAAAGTTATAGAAATCCTCAATCAATGTTGCCGTCGTCATCGTCATGGTAGTATTCGTCGTTGGTCGCTGTGCTTACATGGTTGGACGTCTCTGCAGTGACGTGGGCTGAAGAGTGCACCTGCCACATGGGTTAGGCGCCGGCCGCACCCAGCTGGGCTGATTCGCATAGATCCTGCCTACTTTTTCACACCGACCCACCCAGCTGCACGCCACCCCCACCTCAATCACATATGACTGCCCCTCGTTCTATCGGGCAGTCACTAACAGACCAGGCCGCTCTTTCCCCTATACAACGCCGCAAAGGTGAAAGGAAGGCTGCCTGCCTACCTACCTTACCCGGGTGCTCCAGCACGCCAGCACGGTCCCGGCTTGCTTTCCACCTGATTCTCCTCCCACATCTTCCACATCCTCCTCATTCGTCACACTATTCTCCGAACGGCATCGTCGGATGTTGGCCATCCTACTCCAACTACCTGTCTCCACGCCTCGCGCCCACCCACCATAATAATTCTGTTGCCGACATTTTTACCCG